TCCTGCCTGCTCCTCTTCATTGCACCCCTTAGGGAAGCTGAGCTGACAAGTGTTTCTTGCCCAAGTATCCAGAACCACAGCCAGCTCTTCCACTTAATAGATAAACAGCAACTCATAACACCTATTTCAAATATGTCTTGTAACCTGCCCAGTCCTTGGTTTGTAAATATAAATGAACAACAAAAGGTCACCAGAGTATTTGAGAACTGTCATGTTATAAAACCCTGGAAGTAAAGGATGGGACTGAACAACCAGCCAAGTAAAAACAGAAATAATTCAGGAAGACAAAAAGACATTGCAACCACCAGACAAGAATAAACTGCTGTAAAAAACAATGCTCCGTTAATAAATAAGGTTTATTACAAAATAAGTTGACCACCAACAAAAAATCACTTATAGAGGTCAACAATAAAGTGAAATAATCTGAAGACTAACTTAGACATATGGAAGGCAAAGGTAAGAACACAGATGAAAAAGACAAAGATGAAAAATGTGAGGAAAAAACACAAACAGTAAAGGAGAAAAAATTATCAAAGATATAATAAAAGAAGATTTGACTCTCCACCTAAAGACACAAGACTACTGTGTCGAGTAGGGTATGTGAAAGAAACGAACAACATCTAGATGCAGTCAAATGATAAACATTCCATGGTAAAAAAAGTTCTATAAATTCCTGGAGATTAAAAAAAATACTTATCTACACAAAGAAGACAATGAGATACAAAACAGACTTCTTATCAGTAACATCACATTCTAGAAAATAATGGAGAAATGTCTTCAGACTTCAGGGGAGAAACACATTACATCTGAAAATATATTGAGCAATAATTATATGTGTGTGTGTGTGTGTGTGTGTGTGTGTGTGTGTGTGTGTGTGTGTATTTAGACAGAGAGAGAGAGAGAGGGAGGGAGAGAGAGAGACGGAATCTCACTCTGTTGCCAGGCTGGAATGCAGTTGCACAATCGTGGCTCACTGCAACCTCCGCTTCCCGGGTTCAAGCAATTCTCTTGTCTCAGTCTCCCGAGTAGCTGAGACCACAGGCACACACCACCACGCCCAGCTAATTTTTGTGTTTTTAGTAGAGACGGGGTTTCACCATGTTGGCCAGGATGGTCTTGATCTCTTGACCTCATGATCTGCCTGCCTTGGCCTTCCAAAGTGCTAGGATTACAGGCCTGAGCCCCTGCACCTGGTCAATAATTATATATTTTAAATATTGTTTGTTGATTTTCAGTTTTTAGAGTAAACCAATTGACAAGGCACAGTATGCAGGTTTAATTATAGCTGGAGAAAAGAATGTTACAGACAATTTTAACAAATTTGGGTAGTAGAAGTGGAATGAGGAGGAAGGTATTGTAGGAGTAATGGATTCACCCAATTTCAAACTGAAAAATTAAGGTCTAGAAATTGGTAAATCAAGAAATAGAGGAATATAAAGTATAATGTTAAAATTATGATTGTAACCATCAGAATATATATAAAAATTGAAAATGTTAATTATGAGTGATTTCTCTGGGGAATCGATATATCTTCCCTTAGTGTATGATTTTTTTTTCCTGCATTGTATTACACCCATCCCCCCAACACATTTATGTATACAAGTAATACCTGAGTAGGATTAAATGGAGCCAAGGGAGGAATAAAGATTGCCAGGAGACTGTAGCTTCTGTGACCAATCTGCAGCTTTGGCGGCCTCCAGATGCAGATGTGACTTTGTATTGCATCCCTGTTGGTGGGTGCATAATTGCATACACAATGTTTAAATGATATTGGGGGGGGACATCTTTGACATCGTAGGTATAGGATGTGGTCATGTTATCCCACAACTGTGATACTCAACGTACCAATGTACCTGCCATGCCCATTCCTCCCCTACTTAAACTCTGCTGCCCAGAATCTTATGTTGAAGGATGAACAAAACACTAAACTGGTATTTCCATCGTGAAATCCGATGAATGGATTTCAGTCAGTAACCTGCTCGGTGGTCCATAGTATTGACCCTGGTACCTAGACGTCAGTTGAACTCCTTATCTCAGCAATTTGAATTCAGTGTGGAAAAATCTGGCTGGAAGACAACAGTGTCATAGAGTTGCTGTGCAAAGGTCTAGAAACTGTGCCCTTGAGAGCCTTGCTGCCACGCAAGTTCACAGCCTCCTCCAGCTCCCAGTTCCCGAGGCTCTGTCTTCATACACCTCCTATTCTTCGTTCCAAGGAATTCCATCACCACTTTTAGACTTCACATTCCCTTCTAATAACTACTCCTTTTACGTGAGCAAACTTGCAGCCAAAATCACTCAAATTGAAAGAAAATCCTGACAACTAAGTTCAGTTTGCATTCAGATGGGAAGGGAGACCTGTTGATAGCTGCCTCCTGGAATAGTGGAGCCAGCTGGATGCATTTTAGTGCAAACCCAGCCTGTACCACAAGACCTGGGTGCATGCAACTGAGATTGCTTTTTTTCAAGAAGAGTCATTTTCTAACTTGCTTATTTTCCCTCCCTGTGTCCATGTGTTCTCACCGTTAAACACCCACTTAGGAGTAAGAACATGCCGTGTTTGGTTTTCTGTTCTTGTGTGAGTTTGCTGAGTATGATGGTTTCCAGATTCATCCATGTCCCTGCAAAGGACATGAACTCATCCTTTTTTATGGCTGCCTAGTATTCCATGATGTATATGTGCCACATTTTCTCTTGCTTTCTGCATTTCTATTTTTTTCTTCTTGTTTAAAGATTATTGGGCTATTTGACAGTTTTAAGATATTTCTGAAACTTCCAGTAAGAAACAACCTTTAATTCTCTTTAATGGCAATTTTGTTTTTCAGTACTAGAGACAACAGAACCTAATCTGTTTCTAAACCTTCAAAATAGGGAACAACAAATGATTGGAAGATGTCAGTCTGACTGCCTTCCCTTTTTTAAAGCTCTCCTAGAGATCCCTTCCTAGTAGGCTTGAGAAAGAGAGAAGCAGTTGGGCACAGTAGGCTCTCGCGTATAACCAGCACTTTGGGAGGAGAGGTGGACAGATCACTTGGGGTCGGGAGTTCAAGACCAGCCTGATGAAACCCCATCTCTACTAAAAATATAAAAATTAGCTGGGCATGATGGCGCACCCTTGTAATCTCGGGAGCTAGAGGCATAAAATCGTTTGAACCTGGGAGACAGAGGCTGCAGTGAGCAGAGATCGCACCACTGCACTCCAGTCTGGGTGACAGAGTGGGACTCCATTTCAGAGAGAAAGAGAGAGAGAGAGAGAGAGAGACAGACAACCTCTGACCACAAGCAAGTGGTCTGGCATCATCAGCCAGGCATTGGTATCCTCTTCTCGAACATACAAGTTTTACAAAACATCAGGTAAGGCCACTCTGAGATCATGGTGGATAAAATAGGACAGCTACAAAATTACTTCTGATCATGAATATAGTGCAAATCACAAACATCACCAAACTTTCCTTTCTATATTAGATTTATCAACATATCCAACATAAAATTAACCCCACTTCCTAATAGCATTTAATCTAGAGTAAAACCCCAGTTTTGTAAGCCCCTGAATCACCTAAGTCAAGCCCAAATCATGTCCAATAAGTTATCTGTAACACTTTTTAACTTTTCCAACATCTTCTTACTGAGGTGCCCCGCAGTTCTCCATGGAGTGCACCCTCTCCCTAAAAAAGTAATGAACTCAACTTGTTCAGTTCCAGATGTTTCTAGTGATGCTCATCCGGGTTTTTTTGACAGGAATGTCATGTTCCCCCAATCCAATCCTGTTACTACTTCCTCAAATCATTGAAGAGCAGCTTCCCTGGAGTAACTTTCTTGGTCTTTGCAATAATCACTGATGTCTACCAGGCATTTATCACTCGCCTGCACTTCACATGGATGAACTCATCTGATCTGCACAATGACCCTGTGAGTAGATAGGTTTAGTATCAAATTTACAGAAGGAAAAAAGGCACAATACTACTATGTAACTTAGTGGGCAGTCTAAGTCAGCCGGTTGATGGGTGCGGGGCTCTCACCCCGACAGCACACTGCTTCCTTGTACCCCGTTCCTCTGCTACTATGCTCTTCCACTTCGTTGAATGGTGTGTGGTCACTGTCATCAGCCCACATTGAAGGACACTAGAAACTAAACAGAACCAGGAAATCATTGCTGGGTTTCCTGTAAGATATGGGAGAATGCTGACCCACAGGAGAAAACAAAAATTCTCTCAGATTTCAGTATCAGAAATAACTTCAAAGCTTCTTCTGAGAAGTTAGATATTTTTCAGCTAATGGAGACATTAATCATATAACTCGCAATTTTTCAACTTGATTTTAAGGAAAGTATGAGACGATTTTAACTGGACTAAACCTAACCAGGAAAGATATTCCCTTTGCATATTTCTTTCATTGTTACTATGTGGTCAAGGGAGCATTCTTTCTTGGTATTATAGTAATATGACTATTAATTCTATATCTTCCTTTACAACAAAGAGGGAGTTTGAGGCACAGAACTTCGGAGGGCACTAATTAATATCTACAGAGATTTCAATAACTTAGTTCACTTTATTTTAGCTATTTTTGTAATTATCTTCCAACTATAGGGAACTGTACAGGCTTTTCCATTTACAAATGATATAAAGTTTATTTTTTAAAATAAATTTCTTTGAGTAAAAATTTGAGTACATTTAAAGAGAAATGTTAACTAAATAGTAGTACAGGCCGTGGGACACCAGACAAGAAAACAGAAATCATGAAGGTGTTTTGGAAACCCTGACTTCATTTCTTGTGTTGGATGCTGGAAGGAGATGAGTTTAATTCGTAGTCATTGATTTCAAGAGCGCAGGTCCTTGAAATTGAGACTGGATGCATTTTACCGTCTAATCGCATTAGAAGACGACTTTATCATCCGTCTCCTCCTCCACTTCCCCTCTGCCATCTTATCTTGCTACTCCAGTATTTTTTCAGGAAAAAAAAATCCCGATGGGATGCGGTGGGGGCTGGCACAATAAGGAATCTTCAAGGAGTGAAAGTGACCAGGGCTACCAACTGGTCCAGAGATGTGCGCTAAGCTCGCAGAAAGCCCAGAGGATCTGACTGCCTCTCATCCTGGGAAGTTTTAATTCTTCACACTGGGCAGTAACTGGGTTTGTAAAACTGCTTGGATTCTTTGGCTCCACTGCGTCCCGGCTTCGTGTCACTGTGACAGCGTGAGACGTGTGAGTGAATGAAAGTACTTCGGTGGAAAGTAAGGAGGAGCTGCCAGAGATGTGCTCCTCCTCCTTTCTGGCTGTGCGGCACCTTGACCTTGAGTCCACCTCCCTCCTCTTTCCACCCCCTCCTGATGGGGAAGTTCTTGGGGACCTCCTGGAGGCCTGGGGGCGGGGTAGAGGACAGGGATGGAGACTGGCCCCGAGATTGGAAGGGGGATGGGCAGCTCTGGAGAATAACGCCCAGGAGCGAGGGCAGCGCAGCCCCAGACTCCCTGGAAAGCCCAACAGTCTGGAAAAGCTGGGTGTGGATTCGCCCCTCTTTGAAGAGTTTTCAGGAAGTTTGGGGGAGGGGCGAGACGCCCTCACCAGTTCTACCGGCGTCGGGCGCTGAGGGTGAGAAGAGACACAGCAGCAGCAGATCTCAGTGCTTGTCACCTTCCTGCCCACCGGTGGGCTCCGGGCGCGCCCGGCGGGGTCCTCCGGGCGCAGGCACAGTGCGCGGGCCAGCATGGAGGGACTGGTCTTCTTCAACGCCCTGGCCACCCGGCTGCTGTTCCTGCTGCACTCGCTGGTCGGTGTCTGGCGAGTGACCGAGGTGAAGAAGGAGCCGCGGTACTGGCTGCTCGCGCTGCTCAACCTTTTGCTCTTCCTGGAGACTGCTCTCACTCTCAAGTTCAAGCGCGGCAGAGGCTACAAATGGTGAGAGTGCCCCGGGAAAGCGAGGGCGCACGGGGCCCTAGGGTATTGTCCCCCACCGCACTCGCGTGCAGCCCTAGAGCCCATCTTCCCGAAACCCGCCGATTCTACTCGAATTTGGACCCGGTTTGTCCTCGCTGGGAGCTTGGAAGGCGCGAGATGCTTGCACGTCTCTTGGGCACGCCAGGGCTTCCTTAGGGTCCCAGTGCAACACTGGGAAGGCTCGATCCGTGAGCCCAGGCAAGAGTCACGCAGTCTGAGGTTCGGAAACTCGCAAGATGAATAAAGAGAAAAAGCGTTGGTACGTTTTACTGAATGAGTCATGGGGCAAGGGTGTGTGAGTTTGCGCGGGTTACTCTACGTGCGTGCACGTGCGGGAATGTCCTACGCCGGGTATTATCGACCTTTGCGAGAGCTTTAGCGCAGCGGGTCACCCTCCTAAGACTAGAAGCCTCTCGTCGAGCGTCGGTGGTTTCAGCCGCTTCACTTCCCTGCGGCCGCAGAGGTCGCGCGCTCTCTGGCACAGCGCCAGCTTCAGGTGTCTGAGTTTGGTGGCTTTGGTGCTTGGTTAATGGCCTGCCTATCTTGCCAGGAACGCGTTGTAACGCTGGTGAAGGGACCAGCAGGTAGTGGTTCGGTCTTAACCTCTGTGTGCAAGAACTACAAGTCATGTGTGGTGCTTATTTCCTCCCCGAAGGGCTTGAATGGCAATAAAATAATTGAGAAAAAGATTCTCTTGCCATTGATTAAGAGCCTCCCCCAAACCCCAGAGGAACTTCTCTAAGTTAGGCCACTTTCTATATTAATTTTTAAAATGGGATGTGTTTTCATATATATCAATACCTTTAAAGTACCCCATGCTACGAGAAAGGAGAAAATGGTATTAGGCAATTTACTAATTACGTACACAATGGCATTATAGTCATTGCATTCAGAAAAATAAAACAGCCCCCCTACAGTTTTACATATTAAACTACAAAAGGCTTTGTATTTCTTGACAGTTCATGGAAGAAAACATGTTGCCTCTGAAGATGATGTAAATTTTGCTTACATTTTCTACTGCTTGAAAAATTTCTAGAATTACCAGTGCCCATATTATTCAAGAACAATCCTAATTTAATACAACCAGGCTGGGAATGTGACTACCACTGCCTCCACCCTCCCCACCCCCATGAAGAGTTTCTTAAGCATGAGACATTTGCGGTACTTTCCAGTGTGCCTTTTGGAAATCTCAAAGAAAAATGGTGTTAGCTTCTAAAATAAGCCTTGGGGTTAAAGAAACAAAAGGGGAGAAAAGTGTTTGTTCACTCAGCAGGTCATATAACATTGATTTAACTTTGACTGAATAACTTTAATAAACCAGAGTGGAAATATCTTTGGTCATAGAAAGATGAAGTCTGAGGCTGAAAACTGTCGTATGGAAAGTCCTGCCACCCACCACCAGAGATTCTGGGACACATTCAACCTTGGAAGAGGTGCCTGCTCTCCCCCTCCAAGAGTAGACCAGTTTAACTCTAAGTCAAACACCCGCATTGTGTAGAAATACTGTAGCCAATCGAACTTTACCTTCACGTCTACATCTTTAACTGCTGATTCAGACTGACATCACTTAAAATCAGGAGAGGAACAATGGTTGGGACAAAAAATGAGTGATGGTCAATGAGTCAGGTTCTCCAGGAGATATACTAGTGTTTAGAGTATGCACCTCAAAATTAGACACATGATGGGGTAAAATCTGGGTTTTCCTACTTGCAGTCAGACCTTGAGCAGGCTACTTAGTATCTCAGCCTCGATTTCTTACCTGTAAATACATGCCTCATAGGCTATTAGAGAATTATATGAACTAGAATGTGTTGATTGGTGATGAATAAAAAAGCAATGGTCATTTCTAGATCCAAAGGTTTTTCTTTATTTCCTTCTTATTAAAAATATTCTTGTATCGACTAGACACATTTTATATCTGCACAAGTCAGACTAATTTACTTGAGTGACTAACCAATAAACCATTGGTTCCATGCAAAAAAGTTGAAAAAAAAATTCTCACCTTTATTTCGGAAGAACAGACCCATTTTATATATTGGGCATTATAACACTAATTCAAGGAAAATCTTGCTGGCCTAGCTATACTCATATTTGAAAATAAGCAAAGAAAAATGTTGATTGATTTGACTTAGTATAAAATTTCAGCAACAAATGAGTTTCTGTAGCTGGTCTAAATAGGAATATGAGGAATAATACTTTATTCTACTGATGTTACCAAATACAACTGAGTATACAAATATGTTCATTCATATGGTGGACAGAGCCCACACACTATTCTGTCCTAAATGTGAGAAAAAAATCAGAAGATGGGCTGCTAAAAAATGTAGGCAATTATCCTTGTAATAATATGGTAAAAATGAAAAAGGGTTTAATTTGGGGATGATGCCATTTCTAGGTGAAGTTTTCTGAGTAAAGCAAGATATAATTTTTGTTTTTGAGTGTTAAGAAAATATTTCCAACAGAAAATCTAGGCTAGTGGAATGAAAGAGAGATGAAGTAAACATTATGGCTATATCTATATCTCTATACAGAAAAATATTAATATGTATTAGTCTATAGCTGTATTGATTTACATATTAAACTACGAAAGCCTTTGTATTTTTTACAGTTCATGGAAGAAAACATGTTGCCTCTAATTAATACTAATATTAATATGTATTAGTTTATACAGATATAAAGATAAGCCTTTGTTCCATGGGTCTTATAGTCTTATATTTTGGAATCTACCCTATAGAACCAATGGTACCCATATGTGAAGACATGAGCAAAAATATTAATATCCTTATTGTTTGTGGAAAGTAAAGATTAAAACATACTGATTATCCAGCAAAGGAAATGTTAACAATAGTGAAATATTTGCACTATAGGCTATTTTACTGATATTAAAAATAATGAGCTAGATCTTAACCCTAACTTTGAGGAATGTTCATGATGTATTATCAGGACCCTAAATTTATAGAGTTGTGTATATTATGGTTCATTTTTAAAAAATGGACTTGAAAAAGAATTGCATTTGTTATCAATTGAAAGCATTGTTTCTACAAGTGGAAATGAGCAGCAAAGGAGGAATAGGAGGAAGGGAAGGGGAAAGGGAAAAAAAAACCTTTCATACTGAAAATAAATAAATAGGAATATAATGATTGACTAAACCTGAATGATGGACTAAAATATATACACATATAAGGTGAAAAACTTCTTTTCCTTGAAAATCAGATCCATGGACCGCCATTGGACTACTTTGGGCTACTTTGAGTATTGTTCTTTTAATTTAAATTTACACTTGGACCCAAATGAGTCCAAGCCATAGAAATTGTGGAACAATAAAGAGAGTTATAGAGGGAAATGTGAACGAAATATTTTGAAACATAGCAAACATATGACACTTATCCAGAGAATATTTCTTTAGCTATCCTTTGGAAAGGAAACATGGAACTGGAATTGCTGAGCTCAGCCGTCCGGGGACAAGCAGCGTTACATCAACACTACAAACTCGCCAGTTGGAGAGGTTTAATTTGTTGGAATCCTATAGCATAGAGAGGGTGAGCCAACAACACGTCCCTGTTAAGCTAAAAAAAAATGTATACTCATGGAGGTTGCTCTTTTTTCACCTAATATTTATCTGTTTCACCTGCATATTTAATTACATTTCTGTAAGATGAAAATGAATATCCCTTGGCTTAAGCTTTTCTTGATTGTATTTTCTATCGTCTGGGCAGCAATCCAACGGATCTGTGAATTACCATTTAGGTAAAGTCAAATAAAAGGCAACATTTCAGCTGCGTTCCAGCCAATAAAATATTCCTCAGGGAGAGAAAAAATTACTAAGATTGTGACAAGTTTGAAGCCTGTTAAAGCAGGCATTGTCTGAGAATAAGTAGAAAGCTAAGTTGAACTTGCTGGCCAAAGAGTACACAATTTTAAGCACTGAGTTTTCTTCACCAGAAAAATCCAAGGAAAATATACTTTGTGAGTTAGTAAATAATAACTCACCTATTTGGTCACCTTGCTTTGTTATCCCTCATTTCCTTTTACTTAAGTATTTTTGAATTGCTTACTGAGCAAGCATGATACTATGTTAGATACTGCGAGACCAGGCAGAAGAAACAGAAAACAAACATGCTTGACATTTTAAAAGGTAGCATTTTGATGAAGTGCTCGAATGTGTTGGAATCAAAATCATTATGAACATTTAGCTTTTCCTATGTTCCAGAATCTTCCAAGGGTTCCACAGAGATGATTCCATTTGATCCTGACAATAGCTGTAGTTTATTTTCTGTTTCTCTGTTTTCTTCCATTTTTAGATGAGGAAACTGAGGCACAGAGCTATTAAGTCATCTCTTTTAGGACCAGTTAGTGGTCAGTTAAGAGAGAATAGTGAAGACTCCAGGCTCTCAATCTTACACACTCTAACAGTCAGAGGAGAAAGGATGTGCTCTGGAATATGGGGTCGGGAACAGGGAACTTTACAGCATTTGAGCTGTTGTTGGAACAGTGGGTGAGAGCTGCATCTGGAGAGAGGTGTACAAAGGCCACGTAGGGAGGGAACCTCCTGGGTGGGCGGGTAAATTAGGCAACCTTGAGCAGGTTTCTCTGGAGAAGGCACAGAGTCTTTTCACTTTCTATCAACAACAGTGTACGGGACGACGTCTACTATATTGTATCAGGCAATATTCAAGTACTGAAAATATGGAAGTGAATAAACAGGCAAAATTCAGCCCTTGAAAACCTCACATTTTAGTCAAGGCTCAGAAAATAAAGACATAAGTAACTAATAAACAGATGAATGAATAGGTAAGAAGAATCAAGCGAACAAATGAGTGATCAGAACTCTAAAGGCCCCAGTGGTTTGGGTGACAGACTGAGGGGATGTGCAAGAAGGGGCCACTGGATGGTCAGAGAAGCCTGGTGGGATGTGACATTTGAGCTGAGGCCTTATAGAAGAGAGAGAGCTAGCCAGGCATGGGGAGGATAAGAAAAAGGGACAATCTGCATGAGCCTTGAAACATTTCTGACATACTCTCAAATGACTGATAAATACTGATAAAAAGAGTTTTTCTACTCTTCCCTCTCTTATTATTACGGTGTCCCTCGACTCCATGTTAAAAACTCTTCCAAATTTTCTTAACTTTATGATATCTCATTTTAAACACTGTGTATTACAAATTGTCTGGATGGCTCACAGCTGAAAACAGAAAAGACAAGTTAGAAAACAAGATTCTATCCTAAATTGATCATAAATTCAAACCAATCTCGTAAAAA